AAGAAAAAAAGTAACGCAGTTACTAGTAAAGTTACCAAAAAAGTAACTTGTAACTGTAACTTCGTTACAAGTAACGAGTTACTTCCATTCCCTGTATATCGCTAGATGCCAAATAAATGCTAAATCTAGGTGGTGAAGATAATATGAAAAAGAGTATCTGCGTAGTTAATATAAACGTTTTGTCGGTTCGTACTTGATACGTAAGTATTCGAGAGCTGCAATTCTCCTTTAGGGGAGCAGGACCGAATTACAAAAAGTTTCCGGAGAAATGATCGGGCGATTATAAAAGTTTGCAAAAACCCGAGATTCTCCTAACCAGCCCGCCGCTTGCTTGATAAAGTCGAGAGAAATTCCCTTCTTAGCGGCTAAGGAGGTAGAGGCGTGTCGTATACTATGGGCCGAAAATAGGTCTGCGCGCACCCCGCATTCCTCCAGGCCCTTGCGGATCCACCGGCTGACCGATTGGACTCCGATGACTCCGAGGGCTTTACGCAAGAAATGAGCAAGGAATTGCACTCGGGGGGCGTAGGGATTCAGTACGTAGTAGATAGTGGTCTATAATAGTAACCACGCAAAGCTCTGGGTGTTCAGAAAAACTCGGAAAGGTAAGTAGAGGTTGTGCTCGGCCCGGGGTAGATGTTTTTACTCGATCTGGTATCTTAATAATAAGCCTATCTCTTTCTCGAATAATATATGGGATTTTAATAGCTGCTAAGGTTTGCGCTCGCTGTCCCGAACCTAGCGCTAGAAGGACTAATTTCCTAGAAATGACTTCCAGAGGCCTAGATTCGTAAGGGAAGATCTTTGCTAATTTTGCGATTACCGGGGCCGGGTCCCAGATAAAGTCATAGCGCGCGTGTTGTGGCCTAACGGTGCTGACCCCCCTACCAAAACGCTTGATTAGCGGGTGGCTGCCGATCGCTTTGTCAGAAATAAGAGAGATTGCCGACCGTGTAGTGTTGAAAGATGAATAAGAGCTCACGTTCCCTAATTCCTGTGATAAAAAATCAAGGACTTGGTCCACTCTAGGAGAGAAAGGCGAGATCCGGTGCCTCTGACAAAAGTCCCACCAGATCCTTAAAGGTCGGGCATATTGTCTAATTGTAGCTGAAGAGGCGATCATAACCTCCAGAGCTGCCGGGGGAACTGACTGCAATATTAGTGCTTGCCTGATAGTCTCCCTGCAGCCAGGGAAAGGCTTCTCCAGTCCGGATGTTGGGACCTGGAAGGAGACGATAAAAGTGATTTAGATGGAGCCAAAAATAAAAGATCCGAAGTTAGCAACCGGTGGAATACTGGGAACCACGATTGTGATGGCCACCATGAGATAATCACGATCCCCGTGGCCTCATCGTCCCAAATCTTCCGCAATACCCTAGGTAGTAAGATAAAGGGAGGGAAGGCATAGAAGTAGAACGGATGCCAGTTTATACTGAAGGCGTCAATAGCCCACGAACCCGGGTCAGGAAACCAGGAGACGTATGTCTCATTCTTGGCGTTAACTAGCGAAGCGAAGAGGTCGATGTCAAAGGGCCCGAGAGATCTTTCGACTTGGCCGAATGCGTGGGTCGAAAGGGACCATTCAGTGTCGGAACATTCGATACGCGATTCACTGTCTGCGATGGTATTGTCTATCGAGGCTATATATGATGCGAAGAGGTGGATGTCTCGTTCTTCACACCATTTCCATATATTTCTGGCGATGTCTGTAAGATGAGGGTGTTGAACCGAACCAAATTTGTTAATATAAGCGATAACCGTGGTATTATCAATTCTCAGTAAGATACTAACGTTGAGGAGACCGTCGGTAAAGCATCTCAATGCATAAAAAGCCGCCTTCAGCTCTAGGGCGTTGATGTGAAGACCCTTGTCGTCCATTGACCACCAG